TCTTATAATCGTTGCTGCGGCAAAACAGGTTTGATCTTTATCTTCCTATCACGGCAACAACATTTTCTTTTTATCAGTCATTTCCACAAAGATCATGGGCAAGGAAGATTTGATTTAAATTTTTGGCAATGCTCTTTATATCTTTATTCTGCAACAACACTCTTTATGTTTTTCCCAAGCAAATTGGTTTTGTCTTTCCCAGTCTTTCCCCTCCCCAGAATTCTGAGATACATAAATTATCAATTTCATTGAATATTATCCATCCAGAAAGATGTAAGGACTATTTTACCTCTTTGATACCACATCGCCGCTGGTAAAAATTCAATCTTCTTTTCTAGGTGACCATTTTTTGTATATTATCCTTTTTAATCAGATTGAAAAAAAACTAACAAACATTTAACATACTTGATACCACTTGTTTGTGACAGAAAACTTGCACTAACAATTTATCTTATTCAATTGAACATTTTTACTGCAAATGTGGAATTAAGTATTTAACATAGTTATTTACTATTTATCACCTCTTTGCCTGGCGACAAAAGCTATTTGCCCCTTGTGATATAAAGATGTGAGGTTCAGAGTGATTATATAAGATTTGTCATCGCTGACTCAGCTGAGTCAGCCTTACTCAGCCATCAAAAGGCTAAAAACATTGTGCCATTCTATATAGACAAGCTTTAGACCCGCACCTATGGCGCGGCACTCGCTAACGCTCGGCCATGCCTCTGGTGCTTGGTCACAGCTTGCTGGGGGCAAGCCCCCTGGACCCCCTGGTACACATGTTTAATCCCAGTTCTGGTACGCATGCTTTATTCCAGTTCTGTTGTGCATGTTTCATCCCAGTTCTTATACTTCAGGTAGGGGTGCACATTGGATCCGTCTTTGACAGATCAATAGGGCCATTAGATAGGTTCTACAGTGGCCTCTTGAGTCTTGACTATTTATGTACTTACAGCAAAATGGCTGAGCAAATTGATGTGTTAACTGATAAACATTTGAGGGGATGGACAAAGGCTACAGGAGTCTGGCATTGTCAAAGTGCCTATAACCTAAGCTGCAGAACTTTCACAAATGCAATTTACCTAAGTATCCCATGCTGCTAAGTTCATCCTCAGAATTCCTTATGACATTCAACTTTAAACAGGTAAAATTGAAGTGTATTTGATAACTACATAGGAAGTATTCTACTACATTAAATGTTTAAGGAAAGGGGGGTGTTAAAAAGAAGGGGGATGGACAGGCAGTGGTGAGCCTTATCATCATTCATGGTCATGGTGCCGGGCACTCATTGCCCATCCAGGTTAGTGGTGCTGGTCCCTGGTCCGTTGTCGTACCACATTGGCATCGCGTCGTCGTCGTTGCTGTTGTTGTCACGTTGTCAGCCCCTCTGTGTTATGTTGTGCCCTGGTCCCTCGTTGGCCCTTGTCCTGGTCATGTTGTTGTTGTCTTCATCATCCTGTGTCCTTGTCGCGTCATTGGGTCATGTTCTCGTCGTGTCATTGTCCTGTGTCCTCCTCATTACATCGTCGTCATCCCACGTGACTGGTCTGTCGTCGTCCTGTGTCTCAGCAAGGTGGGTAGGGATGAACGTGGGACGGGGGGTATTCACCATGTTTTCGTAGTGTCGTTGTCCCATGTCCTTGTCTTCTGTCGTTCTCATCGCGACATTGGGTTCCTTCATTGTCCTGTGTCTCAGTGAGGTGGGTTCGGATGAACATGGGATGGGGGTTACTCACCGTGGTGTCCTAGAGTAAACAACAACAAATGACGTTTGTCGTTTGGTTGCCACGTCGCTGTCGGTGACGTGGCACCTGGATTGCGTATTAGTAAAATGAGGGGTGGCAGGGAGCTTGCTCACCTGGGCTCCTTGTCGCCTTTGTCCGTTCGTGGGTGGTTGACCGTCGCTCATAAGCCATGGTGGATGATGGTGGTCAGGTTTGGCTGGTGCTCGTTCATCTTCGTTTGTAGGTGGTCGTTTTTGTTTTTTGAGTGTGACATGGCCCTTGCTTCTCATGTGAAAAAGGGAGAGGGAGAGGCGAGCCATGTTGCTCACCATGATTGATGTGGATGCATCGTCACCGTCTTTGTGTTTGTTGCCAACGGCGATGTGACCCCTGTTTCTCATGTGAAAAAAGGAGAGGGGGGAGAGAAGCCATGTTGCTCACCTGCAATGATGGTGACAGTGATGACGACTTGCATCGTCACTGTCTAGATGACGTGCCAGGTCGTCGGGGTTGTCTGTTGTTCGTCATTGTCGTTCGTCGCCGCCTGTGTGTGCTATCCGTTGTTCATGAGCCATTTGGGATGGTGGTGGTCTGTTTTGGCTGGGCGGTCATCTTCTTGGCATTGGGTGTCGTGTCGTGGTTGTGGCTGTGGTGTGATGTGGCATTGCCACATTGTTGTTGTGCAGTTGTGGTTGAGTCGTGCACTGAAGCGAAAGGTTTGTTTGTGCATGACTTGTTCATGACTCATGTGAGTTTCTGGCAAACGCCACTCATGTGGCTCAGTATTGCAGCACGGTTGCTTACATGATCTATTATGTAATAACTGTCAACCTTCCTCTCTTTATATATTAGATTTACTATACAATGATATTTTAGATGCAGGAATACTGTAAATCACCTTGGAAAACCAATTTAGGACTATCTCATAGAGGGTTCCAATTTTTTTTTTTTCAGCCTATGGCCGACCTACCTACCCAACCCCCAGTCTGGCATTCAGATCCCTGAACCCCCTTGTTGTGTACTTCAGACCTCATGTGGTGACAGTGCAAAACAAGGTGTGTTGCGACCCATCCAATTGTTGGAGAGTTGGTTATAAAGTCCTTCCATGGGGCAGTGACACAGACCTCGAACTTGCTTGATGCATTTTGCCCATCATCATTGACATTGACAACTTCTTCAAACTCCGAATCCAAGTTGCTCAACATAGAATCATTCTTGTTGGGTGTAGGCCACCTTTGGTCTGTGTATAAATCACAGATTTTTTTTGGCTTTGATATGGATTAAGTTTGCTAGCCATTTGCTTGAAGTTGAAGATGTCTTGTTGAGGAGTCCGAGTCGTGTCTCAGTTCACCCTTGTTCAATGATGTAAGTATCACATGATCCAACATATGTACTCCAGCACATACCAATTTCCCATGCACTGTCTCTTTCTTCCACTTGCTTATCTTGTCCCGGAAATTTGCCTTGGCTTGAGGATCTTGGACAAGGATTTTCACGTTTGGGTGATGGCCGTACTGCTGCTCCACTACTAGCACTAGGCGCCTGAGCTTTCTAGGTGGGTGATCTCCATTCACATGACTGTCCACATGAGCAAAGTTTTTTTTTCAAGGTCGCACCACAAGCAAACCACAAGACCCACTATAATGTACTGTAGCGGGAATGGTGGCTTGTATTGTCGAAATGTTGGAAGACAGGTAAGTCCATTTGCGATCACCTTCATTTTTGACATTCTTCTTCCTTCACATGGAGGTTGCAGCTGTCGCACATAAGGAAAATGCCAACATCCTCCGAGGCTTGGTGGAGAACCAAGTGTTCATCAGGATTTCAGGATTTGTCAACGGCAAGTTACATCCTCTACCTCCTCCTCCCTCATTCACAATGCTTCTTTCACAGGAGCCTTCGTGACCTGGGTGCCAAAGCTTTACGCCTACCATGTTAAGATTTTGAAAGAACTCCTGGCACACGATCCTGAACTGTTTTGGGTGTTCACCAACAGTGGATGGGCTGCCGCTATGTTCAACATCAGACCCAAAATGGCATGCTTTCCCCACCGAGACCACAGGAACCTGCTGTTTGGCTGGTGTGGCATCACTGCCCTTGGTGACTACAACCCAGACACCGGGGGACACATCATGATGTGGGAGCTAGGACTTGTGATATGCTTTCCTCCCAGCTCGAGCATAAACCTTCCTTCCGCTGCGGTGGAGCACTCCAATGTTCCCACTAGGCCTGGTGAGCACTGCTTTTCTTTTACGCAATATAGTGCGGGTGGCCTCTTTTGTTGGGTTGAACATGGGTTTCAAAAAGAGGAGGTGTACTTCAATAGCTTGACTGACAAAGAGCAGGATCATGAAGTAAACAGAATGTGGATGTTAATGAAAGAAAGCCTAATTACTTCTCTACCATAGATGAACTTCAAACCTCCAAATAAAGCTTGCTTTTCTGCTGAAATGTGACCTTCATGAGCACAAAAGAAGAATGACTTTCAGATAAAAGGGCTTTGAGATAAAAATGCAATCTTGGTAGTACAAATGGGTGCGCACCAATGAACTTAACACAACCTCAGTAGTGCAAATGGGTGTGTCACCTTGTATGCACGACTGTAACGTCAGGTGTAGATTTGGTGTAGATATACAGATATACAGTGAACTTAACACAATCTTACCTGCTTCCTCCAGCTGCTGCTACCCATGTATACTTGTATAGTATGGTTTTGAACTTAAGTAGTAAGTACTACCAAAGACGGCGGTCCTGACTCGTTATCCATGATACAGAACTTCATGTTGTCTTTCCAGTTTAGTTGAATGGATCTCAATCTTTCCAGTTGCTTTCCAGCTTCCTCCAGTACAATTGATTCCAGCTGCTACCCATGTACCATTGATTAATACTTGCATTATTGTTTTAAAGACGGCTATCCTACTCATTATCTATGATGTATACAGTCACATTAACACAACCATCATGATGATGATTGTTTCTAATCTAGTACTAAAGGCAGCAATACAATCTTGGGTTTGTATCATGTCCAGTACAGTTCTCTGCTTTACCTTCACATTTCATCTTATTCTTTCAACAATTTCCTTGGTTCGGCATAAACACACTTGATATTCTAAAGTTGCATACATACATGTTGTAATGGCAGTACTTTACAGTGCCCCACCTATTCCTGCAGGAATGGGATCATTCCAGTGGAATTCCAGGGGAATCCTGCAGGAATAGAGTCATTCCAGAGGAATCCAGAGGAATTCCAGTGGAATCCACAGCATTCCACTGGAATTCCACTGGAATAGGACTGGAATCAAGCAGAGTAAGTTTTTTTCAACTCCAAGCTTATCCTGATGACTTGGCACTCATATTTCCTTATAAAATTCACATGTAGAAGTCATAGATTGAGTTGTAATTTATTTGAAATGTATTACTACACACACTACACAGTTTATCTTAAAGGGAGGGGGTAGAGGAGGGACAAGGTGGGGATGTATTTGAAATGTATTACTACACACATTACACAGTTTATCTTAAAGGGAGGGGGTAGGGGAGGGACAAGGTGGGGGTGTATTTGAAATGTATTACTACACACATTACACAGTTTATCTTAAAGGGAGGGGGTAGGGGAGGGACAAGGAAGGGGGAAGAACAAGGGAGGGGAGGGAGGAAGGGGGGAAGGACAAGAAAGAGGGAAGGAAGGAAGGGGGAGGGACAAGGAAGGGGGAGGGAGGAAAGGGGGGAAGGAATGGTGGAGCAAGGGGGAGGGACAAGGAAAGGGGGAAGGAGGCAGGGAGGGAGGGAATGGTGGAGGGGAGAGGGAGTGTGGCTGGGACCTCGGCCATCGTCATCCCGCGTTGGCATCCCATCGTTGTGTCGCATTTCGTTGTCGCCTCCTCGTCGCGTGTTCGCATTTTCATCGTGTGTCCGCGTTGTTGCGTTATTCGTGATGTTGTTGTCGCCGTCGTCGTGGGAGCTGGTTGCCGTTGGGGGCGTCGTCGTGGGTGGCGTTGGTGTGGACGTGGTGGTTTTGGTAGGCGGCGTGGTGCCGTCGTATGTCGTGTGGGCGGTGCGTGTTTTTCGGTGGGCGGTGCGTGTTTTTCGGTGGGCGGTGCGTGTTTTTCGGTGGGTGCTCGTGTTTTTCGGTGGGTGGTGGGATGTTTTCGTGGGCAGGGTATGGTTTTCGTGGGCGCTGGCGGTGTACATGGGCGGTGGGCGTCGTTTTGTGCCCGTCGGGTGTCGTTTTGTGTCCGGGGGCGTTGTTTTCGTGGGTGTTGGGTGTTTTCGTGGGTTACGTTGCTCGTTGTTTTGTGATGTGGCGTCGCCGCGTTGTTGTTGAAGGGTGTTGTGGTTGATGTTGGTGGTCGTGGTGGCCATGGGTGATCGAGGAGCAATGTTGGCGGTGGTGGCTATGGGTGACGGTGATGGCGTGGCGTTGGCGGCGGTGACGAGCATGGTGGTGGTGGTGGAAGAAGAGAGTGGCCATGTTTGGTGAGCATGTTCACCAAACAAACATTGTTTGTGATCCACTGAAAATAAATGAACTATAATACAGTAATAAATAAATAAAATAAACAGATTGGACTGGAATCCCATTCCTGCCCACTCCAGGGAACACCATTCCTGCCCATTCCGGGGAACATTCCGGTGTACATTCCGGAATCCACCGGAATGGAATCCACCGGAATAAACAATTTAGCAGGGCCTTCTGCTAAATTCCATTCCACCGGAATGACCAGATTCCTGCAGGAATAGGGGGACACTGCTAAGACCTCTGTAATGGCACTACATGCGGATCTAGATCAGGTTGCCAAGACGGAATGCGAGCTCCTCCTCCCTGTCATCAAATTCCTCATCGCTCAGTAGGGGCTCATCTATCCTCACAGGGTTGTCAAACGCGCCATTGGGCTTGGGCTGCATAGTTCGTTGTGCACATAGGCTTTGGAATAGAGATCCAGCACAGTATTCCAGGTCCCGACGTTTTGAAAGATTGGCTGGCCATAACCAGTCCTGATGGCGGCATCATGCCTTGGAGTAAAGGTTGAATGTTGAGCAATTGCCAATAAAAAAGAGAAGATTCTGCACCAGGTGTTGAAGATACCAACTTCCTCACCTCTGCTGATGACATAAATACGCTGATTGATGGGCTCCAGTGGTTCGATCTCATCAGGGTGGGGAGGTATGTAGGCCCAGATCCCTTCAGCAGCTCGCCTTGCGGGAACGGAGCCACTTGCTTTGTTAGGCGAAGCGAGGGGGGGTTGAAACTTGACGTAGCCTGGTGAATGACGGACGGTTTGACTTGAGGCACAGTGTTTGGACAGATGTCCTCCGTTTGGAGCCGTGTTGGATGTGGGGCTTTGGATCCGAGCGGTGGCCGGCGCAGTCGCCGAGGGATGAATTGATGACGAGTCACGGTTGGTCTCTGGGGCTTCTCGAATCTGAGTGATAGATGAAGCTGAAGTTTGAAGTTTCTGCCTTTGTTAGGATTGTGATTGTACTTCAAAAAATGAATCAAGCTTCGTTGATCTCACATCCAAATTGCACAAGACGAACCGAGTGAAGCCCATCCGACTGCGCCTGTTGCAACAGCTCTCGTGGTAGCTAGTCTCCCTTGGCTTGATGATGTTCTCCTGGTGAGCGACGGTCCACTGTTGTTCCTTGAATGCGACCGAGGTGGTGGTCTTCCATAGATAAAATCTGATGAGATGATATGGAGCCCTCTGATCTCTATATGGATCGACGTAGACAGGACAAGGAGAAGTGCGCATGTGATTTCCATTCACACAACTGTCCACGTCAGCAAAGAGGTCGCACCACAAGACCCACTAACTAGAGAGGAAAAGGGAAGGATGACGGTGAGCTCACCATAGGCTGTAAAGCAAGGTGATGATGGTGGCGGTTATTAGCGACGGCGCCATCGAACCGACGTCGAGCAGCGTCCTGCAGCATCGGACGGAAGCGGTGAGAAGCACGATTTTCAGCGCAATTGTCACTTTTGGGTGTGAGTGCCCGAAGTGCCCCGAACTGTGTCGATGGATCTGATTTGATCAGATCAAATCTATTTATAGCAACAGTGGCAAGTCACTAAGGCCTCGGAGGCCTATATTACTCGTTGCCAAAGAATTTGCCTTCTGAGGCTTCGATCACTAAAAAATATCATGCCTTAGGTGTCTGTTGCGCCAATTCTCCTCCTCTTCAACCCCTCTCTGCGCACCATGGCCGGAAATGCACGAGATATTGAAGAAAACAAAAACAGCAACGCGGAACTAGAAACATGCAACTGCGACTGCAGTTTCTGGGAATTCATAAGCTGGATCACCTTCCTGCTCTTTTTGCCGATGTCCGCGATCCTCTGCTCGGTCTACCAGCAGTTCACCGCTCTCCTCGTAGTCGTCAAAATAGAGGAATCAAAGATAACTCCTCTCTTACAGGCAGTAGAGGGAATCACACGTGCGTCAAACAACAAAGGAAGCTTTTGTTGACGTACAAAGAACTCAGAGTCAGACACTAATGTGGTGACGACTTTATATATTAGCTACCTGTTGACGTACAAAGAACTGGGTAGCGTTAGCGTCTAAGTAAGTGAATGTAAATAGGAATAATACTCACCTCAGAGTCAGACACTAATGTGGTGACGACTGAGGTGAGAAGAAATAAGGTTTTTCGTATATATAGGAAAAAGAACGATCGGGTGGCTTGATGTAAAGACTGGTAAATAACGGAGGTAAAAGTAAAGGAAAAAAGATCGAGAGGGGATAAATAAAAGTGTACGCGTAAATAGAGTAGGTCACGTGGAGTCTTCTTCAACACTCCCCCAGACGACAAGGGACCTCTAAGTGTTGAGTTTGAGTGCTCGTACGAGCTTTTGATGTGTGACGCGGGGGAGTGGCTTGGTGAAAATGTCGGCGAGGTTTTCTTCGGACGGGATTTGAACAAGCCCAATCTCCCCTTCCGCTACGCGCTCCCTAATGTAATGATGCCGGATGTCGATATGTTTTGCGCGTGCGTGTCCTTTCGTATTAAGGGTGAGGGCGATCAAAGCGGCGTTGTCCCCGTGGAGGATAGCTGGGAATTCGCGCTTCAAGCCTACTTCGGACATGAATGAGTACATCCAAAGCGCTTGTTGTGCAGCACGTGTGAGAGCCATGTATTCCGCTTCTGTAGTAGATAGGGCAACGGTCGCTTGTCGCTTTGAGCTCCATGATACGGGTCCGCCGGTGACGGTGAAGAGGTATCCAGAAGTGGATCGGCGCGTGTCCGTATCCCCAGCGTAGTCCGCATTGACGAAGCCAATCGGGTCGAGGCTACCTCCCCTATGGTACGTGATCTTGTAAGTGAGGGTTCCCTTGAGGTAAGCAAGTAAGTGGAGCATTGCCTTCCAGTGGGCTGGTCCGGGGTTAGCCTGGAAACGTGATAATACGCT